CACAGGAACTTAAGGAAGCATTTCTTCACTGTGAGGGTGACAAAGCACTGGAACAGGCTGCCCAGRGAGGTTGTGGAGTCTCCTTCTTTGGAGATCTTTAAAACCCGCTTGGATGCAGCCCTGTGCCACGTGCTCTAGGTGACCCTGCGTGAGCAGGGGGGTTGGACTCGATGACCTCTGAGGTCCCTTCCAACCTTCGGCATTCTATGATTCTATGATTCTATGASGTGCACAACAGGCCGAGCACAGCTGGGGACACGGGCTTTCCAGCTCTCTCTTGGGCACTGTTCCTCCGTGCTGCAAACATGCTGTGCTTCTTAAGCGACTACGGATCCATTTCGAAATCTTCCTAAGACAGTGAAAACTGCACAATATTTCAGCCATGCAAATCTCAAGTAAATGCTTTAATTGGAACTCTATGCTTCCAGGACTTGGTCTCATCCAGCAAAACCTCCAAAACTCTCTGTCCCACTGCTGATCCTATCTGATCTCCTGTGCTGTGTGAGCTCCTGTCCACCTGGCTGCCAACTGGTACTGTCTCTCTGGGATTCCTTAGTGCAAAATATTTGCCTTCTTTCTCTGCCCTGTCTGTGTTCTCTCTATGTCACTCTTCCCAAGCACTCATCTGCAATTCTGGGGGTTCTCCCTCGTCTCCCTCTCCACCTAAATACTCTTATCAGGGAAGTTATGGAGGACAGGACATTTCCCTAGTGTTATCTCTATCCCTGTCTCTTAAGGGCAGCCCTGCTGAGTTGCTCCCATCCACTCCTGCTGGGCTGTCCTTTGGAGAACATAACCCTAGTGCTAGTGTCCCTATCAGGTTTGCAACTGATATCTGGAGTCAACTGGAGAATGACCAAGACAGAGAAGGCCCCACTTGAGAAGAAACCCTGTTTTGCAAAGGACTGAAGGGCTCTTCACACTGGCATTAGCTCTTTGAGCTTCATCCCACCCAACAGTGCGCCAGTGAGCTGTGTGAGACTTGCGAGCTGTGACCTGTGTCACGGCCTTGCAGTGTAATCCTTGGCAAAGTGTTTCTGTCTGTCTCATGCTCAGTCTACTCAACACATGGTGAGTGGGTGGGAGCTCAGCTCAAAGGCAGCATSTATTAGCTTGGCACTGGGCTAACAGGTTTGTGGCTTTCAGACAGGATGCGGTATCGTGTCCTTCTGGCTTAAAACACAGGCAGAACAAATGTGGGTCTGCTGTCCACACACCRAGTGGACATAACTTGACCCTTTTCCATCCATAACTACGTGATTATGACACTGGCTTGTGTCCCTGGGGTTTGGAAGATGAATGACTCAGTCTTGTCTGTGCCACGGGAATCATGAGGAGACTCCCAAGGTTACAAAATTGTTTCCTCTTTCAGTATTTTTTTCTGTCTGTTGGTGATTTCATGTGTGGAGCACTCAGCCTGGCAGAGCTTTGTCATCTCCTGTGGTGTTTGCCTTCCTCAGATAACAGAGACGTAGATGATTTTGGTTCTTCCCTCTGCAGCTTTCACTCTCTATTTTTCTGGTTCCTGTCTAGCAGTTGGCTCTCTCTGAAAATGAGGCCCCTCACTCCTCTGGGCATCTTCTCTTTGTTCAGCTGTCTCTTGGGTGTTTTTTTCTAGGGGTTCTCCACAGTCTACTGAGACTGCAGTTGGGCTCTCTCCTTCCTACACCTCTCCAGACTCAGTGCTGTGAGGCCGGGAAGGAGGATCCAAGAGAGTCCTTGGGATGTTGGGGGGTGATGTTGGTTCCTCATGGGAGAGTGAGCTCCCCATCTGCTGTGCCCCCAAAAGGAGGGTTCAATGGTCAAGAGGCAATCCAAGGGTATGTCCCATTCTTCTCTCACTTCCCCACTGTAGGGCAGGGTTTAGTTTGGTGTCTGTGTGTGATGGCAGGTCATGAGACTTGGTGGCCCTGAGGGTGTGTGTGGGTGGGTGGAAGCAGAGGCCTGGAGGATTCACCATAGCAGTGCCAATCCTCTGCAGTGGCCTCCAGCAGTGGAAAGGTGCTTGTAGGAGGATCACAGGGCTCCCTGGGGCAAGCATCACACCCATGAGTACAGGCACGGAGGATGCCGCTGGCAGGAGCCTAGCTTAACTCACCTTGCTAGGGGTGAGAATTGCCAGAAAGCACCTGATGAACGTGCCTGTCCTCTCGAACGACCTTGAAGATGTTCTGTTGTCAAACTCACCACACACGGTGATTCAGCCCTGGCCTTTGCTCTGTCTGTGCTTGTGCTTTGGGTTTCAGCTTTGCCTGCATAGGCTGTGACCGCTCCTTTGGGCTTGCTGGCCCTTGCCTTCAGAGGCCAAGGCAGGGCAGCTGCAAGGCTGAGTGCTAGTAGCCATGCTAGCCATGATGATAGCTAGTGTGGTAGCAATGTTAGGGACCAAGAATCGTGTGGAGATGGGACCTGCCTAGTGAGTGAAAGAGCTCAGAGGAAGCCACTGGGCAGGCTTTGCTGTGGCATAAGGGGGCACATCTGTGGCACAGGAGGCTTGCTCAGGCCTTTCCCACCATTGGCAAAATTTGGCAGCACCTCCTGGAAAGCCCAGGTGGGTTCCAGAGCTCTCTGTGGTCAGAAAAATGAAACACGTGAGAGCTCAGAGTATCTTTGGTCTACTAATGTAGGGGCATAAYCCTGGGGTCCAATAAGGCAAAGATGTCTCAGGTCCATTTCCTTTGTAAAGATTCCTGGGAAATGAGCCTATGGTGCTGTCACCTCTGACAGGTACAGTGCTCTGCCTGGCTCTGTTCCTTCAAACTACTCCAACCCCATTCTGTTTACTGGGATGTGATTTAACTCTGCTGATGATTCACTTGTGTCTAATCCTTCAAGGGTTTAAAACCTTCCAAGAATGATCTTGTCTGCTAGGTTTCAGGCTCTRTCTGTCTAGTCTCACACCTTTCCCTATAACCTCCTACTTGCTGTTGGCGTTGAGAGCAGTTATCAGTATGCTCCCTCCAGAGCATGTGAGAGATGTAGAAGATGTAGATAGACTTTGAATTTTAATTTCACAAAGAACTGATAGTGYGATTCAAGGCCAAACCAGCTTCTCTGAAGAAGGTACTTGCTTTGCCTACAGGGAGCAACTTCTGGTTATGTCAGTAAAATGAGAATGGGAAAGGGCTTCCTCTGTGGCAGATCTGCTGAATACGGCTTGTAAAGTGTGTGATGGAAGAAGGGGAGCTGTGACAGTCTAAGCAAAGTGGCCCATGCTGATGCTTGCAGTGGAGTTCTCCAGCAGCCCTTCATTATCTAAAGAGATGCTCTAGCTAAGGCATTCTCATCTTTTACTGATTTGATCTTTAAAATATTCAGGGCCTCTTGTGGGCTCTTATAAAGTAAATAAATAGAAGTTTGCAGACATGAGACTTGCTTTACTTGGATACTTTCTACTGTTGCCTTAAAGAAGAGCCCCAGAGGTAGCCTAGGTGTATATCGTCAACAAAACGAAAACTGGTGCTCTAGCCAACTCAGAACAGAAGTAAGTTTGTCCAGTAATTATTTCTTTGGTTTGTGTTGTTGCAGGAAGCCACACCAAAAGGTTTCTCCCTGTAAAGCCTGCCTAAGTTTATTAACTTAGGTTAGGTTGATCCCAAAGGGTAAGATACTGCTTTGCAAATTATGGGGCCTCTGAGACCACCTCCTCTTCCCATACCCAGTAATTGCATCTATACAGGCAGCCTAATTCTGAACTTCAGGCCCTCCCTTGACATGCCTGTTACCCACTGTCTGTGGCACTCTTAAAATGTGAGTCCCACAGTTTGAGCTCCAGCACTTCTGGAGGCTTCACTGCATGCCACACGCATGCAGGAATCACTGGGATGCCAGTGCTGAGCTAAAGTATCCTCTGACCCTGCTGTGTTACTCTGAAAACTGTTCCGGAAAATAAATGTATATGTTTCTGGGATTCCTGTAAATTCTGTCAGCTGCTCTAACTGCCCTGTCTGATGTTAGAAATAAACCATACTCCCAGCTTCATTTTCAGAGCCTTTCCAGAGCTTTCAGKCTGACTACTTCTAACTTTATATCTCCTGATGACTGTATTCTCCCACCTACCAAGACATACGAAGATAAATAGTCTCATAAAACAACCAGTCACTTCCTATTCCTTCTTGTCACAGCCAGTTAAATATGAGGGATCACCAGAGGAATCAGGATTTGCTGCCTGCTTGAGCTTTGCAGAGCATCTGTTGGATGCACAACTTTCTGTTGCCAGTGATTGCTAAAGAAAATAGCCTAAAAACTCATAATGAAGGAYAGGTGGGAATGATGTTCTTTGAGAAAAGACAGTCGAAAAGTCCTTGCAGCAAAGTGCCACACTTAACAACCACGGGAAGGATTTAAGCATCCTGGAATTGCATAACGTGGTGCATGCGAGTAGGCACAAAACTGTTGCTAGCCCTGGAGAAAGCCCTGCCGTTTGATGGGCTCGTTGTGCCCAAGGCAGGTAGCTGGGATGTGGACCGTGGGCTCCCGCAAAGAGAGGGCAGGCACTGGTGGGACTGGGGCTCTGAGCAGCAACAGGCTGCAGAACTAAATGTTGGCTTCAGCTGGAACAGCTTGGGGCATTTACGGAGGCGAAACGCGATGACCAGCGTTGGAACTGGGCCCAATTTATATCCCAGCACTCTGAACAAAATATAGAGTGCTGTGAGATCTTTAATGATCGCAGGTCATTAGTCTCCAATTACCCTTGTGAGGAAAATGGTTGCTCTCAGCACTGTGCCAGGAACAGAGCACAACAACAGCTCAAAAGGGAGACACTCCCTATGGAATCGCTCACACCACAGCATTCACATATTCCTTGGGGGTTTCTTTTCCAAGCATTTAAACAACTCAGCCCTTGTCCAATTGGTTTTGATCTCAGCGGCTGGTCCATCTGGAAGGAAACATCAGATAGTGCAGGAAATAATTTTATGGGTGACTCAGAGGTACTGGCTGCAGAGAGACCTCAGCTTCCCCTCTTCCTAATCATGCTGTTTTGTCTTTGCGCTTAGGCCGAATGTCTGCGGGAGACAGTGCTGCTCAGGGTGGACAACGGCTCCAGGCACAAACCGATGCATCAAACGTGAGTATGGAGGCCTCACYCAGCACAGGTCTCAAAATGCACCCCTGGAAAGCAGTCAAGGTCTGCGATGGCCCGGCACATCTGCCCTCCTTTGGCCTGAGGGGGCAGTTGGATGTGCTTTGCCCAGAGGTGCAGGAGAAAACAGCCTCCATGGCGCCGTGCTACTGCACTGCGCCCTTGCCATGTGTGCGTTAACCTCAGGTCAGCTCCCTGCATCTGCTCCCAAATTCTCCTCACACCGAGTAATTGCATATTCATTTTATTGTCATTATTAGTTTCAGTCACGAGCAGCATCCTGCTGGGGCAGGGTATTGCAATAGCAGATTTAAAGACTAGTTTCTAGCCTTACAACCTTGTTGTCCTGTTTGGAGTAAGACTCCAGTCTGTGAAAATCACATCAGATGGGAATTGGCAGGGTAGGGTTTTGTTTACACAGGCAAGCGTTACTTATGCTGAGGGGGAAATCAGGGCTTCAGATGGTCTAAATGTTATTTGAAAAAGCCAATTAATAAAATTGGCAAAATGGCTTGGATGGGTGGGGCTGGAGCATGAGGCAACATGTTGGTGGCTTTGCAGCAGCGGGAGGCAGGAGGGAATTCCTGCAGCATTGAAACTGCCCGGCATGGGGCAGCTGCATCCTGAAGGCCAAGTCCTTTTCTGCCTTCTCAAAATGGGGAATTACCAGGACTGGGAAAGTGCAAAGAGTATGATCCTTTTCTGCATCCATGTGTGTGGCCCCATGGTGTCCTCCATGCGAAGAACCCCAGTTCCTGAAAACGCTGGGCCCTCTGCACTGGGCCTCCTAGGCCCAGTTTGGCTCCAGTGTGCTCATGGGATGAGAGCAGCATGGAGTGATTTACAAGGAAATAATCCCATGCAAGGGGTTCTGGTGACATCATTAACCACACAAGCTAGGACCCAAAGATGCAGTGAAACAGGTTGTAAATCAGGGCTGGTTGCTGGTTGGTTTTCATAACCTGTGAATCCCATGCTGTTTGTGAGTTTCCAAATTCATCAGTCCTCCAAAACTGCTAAACAAGGGAGGAATTTGTCTCCCAGATGTCTCCTCTCCAGTATTTGCTGCTGTGCTGCTCAATCTGCCGGGAAAGACATCTCTGTGTCCATGGCACGGGCAGCCAGAGTGAGCCCCTCAACTGCTGGGCAGAGGGAGCCTCAGACACAAGCAGCAGGGCTTTCTCCTGCTTCAGATGTCTGTCTTCAGTTGGTCCAGATTCTGGAAACAGTTGCTGAGAAAAGCCTGCATGAGACACAGCCATGCTGTCATGCAGTGAGTGAGGGGCCGTGCTGGAGTTTTATATGACTGGGTAGATTGCATTTGTCCTCTCCATTAGCCTCTGGTCACCTTTGCTGGCAAATCCGCATGGATTTCTGATCTCCAGAGGAAGATCATCTGGAGGCAACAGGAACCTGGTCAGTGAGCAGGGGCCATGCCAGGAGACTGCTCTGTTCCTCCTGGTAATGCCCAGGGGGTTGTCATCTGCTTGCAGAGTGCGACTCCCTAGGGTGACAGTTAAGGGGTGGCTGGCAGGGTGAGAAAGAGGGGAGAGTTAATTAGATGTATTATATAGGAARGCCATTAGAAGCTTTATGAGAAAATAATTAAGTGTATTACATATAGGAATATCCCTGGAAGCGCTGGAAGGGAGCAGCACGCCCTTGGGCTGAGTGTTGCCAGTGAGGGATGCTCCTCCTGCAAATCCTCCTCCTGCCAGATGTCAGGAAGGAGAGGAGAGGGCCCTGGCCCTCCACAGCCTCCCAGGTCAGAAGGGCTGGGGAGCAAATGGCCCCTGTCCACTCGGGCCAGGCCATGCTGTTCCTGTGGCAAAGGCCTTGGCAAGTCAGGGAGTCTGTGCAGGGCCTTAGGAGCAGATCAGGGCCCGAGAAGGGCTCCACTCCTTCTCCCAGCCCCACGCTCCTCCCTAGCGTAGCCGTTAGGAGCTGAGCTGCATGGGCCGGGCACAGGGAGGGTCTGGGTGGGAGGCCTGGCAGGTCCCCAGCGGGCGCCTCCAYGTGCCCTCTGCCCAGGTGTAGGGTCTGCAGCGCTGCCTTGGGCTCATGGGCAAGGCAGGCCCCAGGGCACGGGCTGCCCAGAGGCGCTACAGCCACCTGCCTCCCTGCGGAAGGGGCTGCTGGGCACGGAGCCWGGGCATTTCTTGCCCTTGATCCCACCAAAGCTTCTTGCTGAATTGGCAGCAGCCCACGTGAGGCTCCAAAGCCACCTCCAGCCCAGTGGTGTTCTCCATCCAGCATAAACATGTGTAAATTTCTCTCTTCTGCATAAAAATGCAGGACTCTGAATTCTTTTCCTGTTTGGGGCTGAGTTTCTGTGGGCCAGCAACACCCCCAGTCTCTGAAATTTCTTCTTCCTCTTGTGGCCAAATGACATTTTTCCTCTGCTCGTCTTTTATAGCCTTCATGAGAGGCTGTCACTTCCCAGCCCTGAGGTCTCGTAGTGCTGGCTGATTAAAACCTTCCGCTCCCCAGGCGCTCCTGCTGTTACTCCAAACGCTCCAGGGCTCGTGATGGAGGCCTGGGCCRCCTTTGCTCTGCGAAAGCCATTTTCAGGACGCAGGAGTCAGAGCCACGGCCTGGGCGCGCGCGCCATGGCGGGCCGGGCTGAGCCGCCTTGCTGCTGGAATCAGGCTGCCCTGGGGGACCGGGGGGACCTGAGGAACTCAGTCACGTTTGTGTAGCAGTCTGGACCTACGGTATAGCTCRGTGCTTGATGGAGGTCACTTCAAGCTCCCAGAAACAGCAGTTGAAGGGAAAGAGTTTGTGAAGGCACCAGTGAGATAGAAATCAGAGGCAACACTATTATTGTCTCTGTCCACACTAGCTGTTTGTAGTCACAGCCCAGTGATTCCTGTCTCTAAATGACATCATTTCAACACTCTGCCTTTCACAGGCCTCACCACAAGCCTGTCCATGTTCTGCCTTCCCAGGGCATCACCCGTCCTAGGCACCCACTGTCCTGGTGTTTTCATCCTCCCTCAAGGAGCCGGGTCCCTCTGCGGCGCCGCGGCAGCCTGGGCGGGAGGRCAGCACAAGCAGCGGCTCTCAGCTGCCTTTCCGAACGTGACAGCCCTGCCTGGAGTATCGGAGAGCATCTGACTTCGCTCAAGTGTCAGGGGCTGCCCACATGTTTAGCGGGAATGAGGCTCCGCTTTGTTTGCCGCAGGATCTCACAACACTTGGGCTGCTCTGGAATAATTACATTAACAACCGCTGCTCCGGAGCAGGGGGCCAAGGGCTGACTCACCTCCTTTCTGCGTCTCCCTCCCCCTGTAAACAGAAGCCAAACGGTAGAGAGCGCGCTGTGCTGCCAGACAGCGGCTATAAACAGAGCGCGGGGCCAGCTATGGCAGCGTCTTTCTCTCATTAGGGACGTTTGTAAGTGCTGCACAGCTCTGGGCTCGTAGCCATGTGGGCTGCCGAGTGACTGCTCAGGTGCTGGGCCATTGTTCCCGAGGATTAATTAAAAGGACACTGTCAAAATGATCAGGCCTGACAGTGTCCCCCCAACAGGGGACGGTAAACCTTAGGCAGTCCTTAAATTGAGACCGTTGGTGTAAACACTGTTTAGATCCCGGCTACTTTGTCCAAGGGCTTTTCTGCTGGAGTTCAATCTGCTGGGGATATTCGGCTGCTCTTAAAGCTGCCAAGGCAAGCTGGACATCCTGTCCTACTTAATTTCTGCACTGAAGTGTTTAGTTTTGGATCCTGTGGTCTTTGCTGTTGGGGGGTATCAGGAAAGAGAGCAGGGTAGAAATGCAACCAGAGGGAATGAAGCAGTGAAGAAATTCGCATATGGTCTCAAGCAAACCCTTGGTTTTGATGGGTCTGAGTCCRGATTCAGGAAAGAGGTCAGGCCTAGCTGTTGCCATAGTCCAGTGCCTATCACCTAGCAAGCCTAGTGATTTCTTCCTTCTCCACCACACTTTTCCAGAGTTTGCACTCTTGTAATACCTTTTCATGACTGAACTCAAGCTCTAGAAAGACTTCTCTAGCCTTTCAGTATGTTCCAGCTTATAGGACTACGGTGCAGTGAGCACATGGGGAGCTTCCTAGGTCAATGAGAAGATAAAAAAGAGAAAAACTGTCTTCTAGAAATTTTCTGCTAAAACGCAAGTCAGTTAAGAAGGCAGGTAAAGAAGAAGTTCCAACCTATCTGGAACAGGCTTGGTTTCTACCCAGACATCAGACCTACACAGTGAACTGCAGACAAGGCATCCTATGGGACTTCAAAGATCTTCCCTCAGGTAATTAAAGAAGCTACRTCTGGACTTGGTACCTAGGAGTGCATCCAAGCTCCTGCCCTGTTCTTCTTTGTCCTGGGAAGAGACTCATGTTCATACCAGCTCTTCCCTCTCTCCCTTTAKGTCCTGGTGTTGGTGAAGAAGAAACCTGTATACACAGGCTGGCCATAATCCTCCCTTTACTGCCARGGTTTTAGGGGAGTTGCAGTATGCACTTGCTGATAATTTAGCTGCTGCCTGTATTTCTTCATACCTGGCTATTTATCTCCTACTGAGACTGATCCTGCCTTCTCTGTTTAACCATCAGAGCAGGGAGAAATCCTCTTGCTCAGCCTCCCTCTGTCAGACACCYAACGTTAGTTTTAACGACCTCCACTTTCATCAACATGATTTATCATAGTTCTCTTTTGCTTCACATGGTTCCAGTCTTGTCTGGCCTGGTAATACAGGATATATATACATTTTTTRTGATATGGATATTTTCAAATTAAAAAGCAACATTTTTAATTGCCATGCCAAGAAGAATTCAATACATTCGTGCACTTTCCAATCTCCTACAGATGGACTTATTTGATGAAGGTGCAAGGATCTCAGGGTCTGTCATYGGCTCTACTGCAGTCTCGCAGTGTCTTTAGTCAGAACAGCACTTCGGCTTTTCCACATCTGTAAAATGGAGATAATATTCACATGCTCTCTCCTTTTGTCTGTCACCTGGACCAGGCTAACATAAGGGGTTCTATAGCACAGTGTCTGCAAAATGACAGAGCTGGATTGATCAGCCTTCCCCTGTTACAGACCTGCCTTCCCTGCTTGGCCAGTTAGTCCCTGACAGCCATCCCTGCAGTGCTACTCTGCAGGGAGAATGTATTTCATGAACTGAAGACCAGACAAACTCATGGGCTTGGAAACTAAAAAGCAAAGAGAAAGATTCCAAATATACATTTTTAACCTTGTTTTATCTGACAGTTTTACAGTTTTGGGGTCCCAACACATGATTTTCATACCAATGGAACTGGCAGGATTTGAATGGTCTGTTCTTTCCTTCATTGCATATCTAGACACAGTCAAAACCTGAGACTTTTAGAAACGCTTTCAAGTTCTTTCTGAGTCTGCAGAGGAAACAGGGAAAGGGATTAATCCTAGAGCTGGAGTATTTCAGCTAGGGSAGCTCCCCACCCATCCTGCATGAAGGAACAAGTAGATTAATCCCATTCCCTTCTTCCTCTTCTTTATATCAGCTGCCTTAGGGACTTTATTTAGAGTGCCTGATTGCTTATCACTGTTTTCTTGCTGAAGGGCATAGTCTACATCTAACTTGAATATTAACACTGTTTGTGRGAGACATTGTGAGAAATGTTGTGATTTCAGGTCCTGGAGTCTCTCCTACTGCAATTCCCTGCTCTGCAATATTTCAGCACATGAAGTGGTTGTTTGGAATGGCAGGCTTCCTGGTATGATGGCATTTACTAAATCAGGCACTTATTGAGAGATAATGGTATGGCCTGGGAGCCTGTTTAAATCACAGCTGAATTATTGTAAATGACATCAAATTTTGGAGTGCCGGACTTCCCAGAGACGGCCCATTCCTGCCTGACTAGGGTCCTGTCTCTGTTCCAGGCTTGACAGTAGTGTCTGATTTATTTTAAGGAGGCCTTTCATCCAAAGCYCTAGTTTTAACCTATACAGCCCTGTGTGATCTGGGTTTTCCCTTTGCCTGACATCAACCTCCTTCCTGAGCATTAACATAGTAATGAAGGTCAAATGCAATGTTCCAGCCAACATATCCCTGACACAGTTGGGAGAAATTGATGATGACAGACCAGTTTTGGGGTGAGAGAAGGGTTTTTGAAAGCTTCTTCCTGCTCTGCTGTGAGAGGGGCTCAGGGGCAGTACAAGACTGCAGGATGATGCAGGGGGGCTGCTGTGGGGAAGGCACATGGGGTCAGAGCTCTAAGTATGTCTGTTTTCCAGAAGCAGCCTATCCTGCTGAAGTGTTTGCACTGCACCGAGACTGAAGTTGTGTGAGAGCATGGTCACAGAGGGAAAGGATGGGCTCATGGAAACCAAGTAGCTGTGTGAGAAGGTGGTTGGGATGTCAGACTGCTCCTGCTACCTCCCTGGGGGAGCTCTGGTTAATAAGCCCTGAGCAGAAGTAGCCACTGCACATTTCAAGCCTTCCACAGTGTTTCCAAGTGGCTGTGCCTCAGGTGAAGGTTAATGTTTGTCTTACATTGGCCAGTGGAGTTTCACTGCTCTTTGCGTACCTGGCCCTTTGCTTCCTTGAAGGAAGAGAGAGTCTTTCAGTGCCCTTTTAATTATGCTTGCTGAGAACAACTAGCCTGGTACTACCTGGGCAAGCTGTGATTTCCTGGCGTTTGCTGACTGGATTATAAACCAAATTTGGCATCTGTTAACTTGGGAAGTGTTAGGGTCCAGTGTATAATTAACGGCACTTTCCTCCTGGTGTGCAAACTGAAGCTGATGTGCTGTAATTAGGAACACACACAGGCTTGGAGAGTGATTTGGGCATGAAATTAATGAACTGTAAGTCCTTGTAGCTGTGGAGGAATTTGAGCATGGCAACTCCAAAATTAGCTGGTGCAGGGAGAGCTGGAATGTTCCTGAGGGGACAGGACACAGGGACTGTACAAATCAAATGCTGAATCGTAATAAAACAGCACCATAACATGTGAACTGCTCCCAAGAGGCTGCAGTAGGGCATTGCTAYCTGCCTCATCCATGTCTTGTTATTTTTCCTTGTGCAGTTGCTGCCTCTGCTTTGGATTTGAGTCCCCGTTTCTGGCCACAGCTCTACAGGGCATACTGGAGACAATGGGCTTTCCTGGGAAAACCCTGGTGCCTATTTTTGGTGGGAACAGAAACAAGGCCTCCTCCTTTGGTGGCAGTGCCCCTGTATTAGGGATTCATGGCAGTAATAATACAGAGCCTTTTGCTCCTGGTGCCAGGCCAGGGTAGGAATGAGCGTGTGTGCAATGGCCTGATCCTCCTCATGAGGACCTACCTGCTTGCAGGAGCAGAAGGCAGCCAGAGGATGGGATGTCCCCGGCTGTGCTGCCCACAATGTGCACCACCATGGCCTAAGAGAGGACACAACGATTAGCCCCGAGCTCRCTGCCTGGCGAGCCGTGTGTCCTGCTAACTGCCTCTCTGTGTCTCCCCAGCTGTCTGCGACCCGCCGTGCCAGAACAAGGGCTCCTGCAGTCGGCCCCAGGTCTGTATCTGTCGCTCGGGYTTCCAGGGATCCAGGTGTGAAGAAACTGTTCCTGAGCAAGAATATTATCCTCCTSCTGCTGCTGCTGCYGCTTTCCGCCCCCCTGCAAGTTCTTTCCGGAGGAGAACCAGCACTGCAGAGAGAGAAGCTTCCCCGAGAGCGGCTCAGGCACCCGTCCCACGGCACTCACCGCCCGTGTAAGTCAACCCCAGTTCCTGACAGGTTGTACAAATACAATAATATGCTTTGTCACACCAGCTCAAGGCCATATGCTTTGTCACACCAGCTCAAGGCCCAAGCTTCCATGCCTTTAGTCTCACCACTGGCCTGGTCTGTCTTTGAGATAGTAGCAGGGTGCACTGAGGAGTAGAGTTTTACTTTTATATATCTATTTTATATATCTATAGATATATCTATAAGATATGTCTATTATAAAGTATGTCCAGGTTACACTCACAGGAAGGAACACAGGTCTGAGGTGTGCCAATATGAGTGAAAGTGATGATACCTGTAGCATGTCTGAGGTGAGTATCCTCAGAAACTCTAGCAATCGATGGGCTAGTTGTTTTGTAGCCTTGTTTCACCCTACTGTTGTCTGGGTCATTTTTGTACCCAGTTAAGTGCCTACATATTTGGTACTGAAGCAAAGATGCAGCTATTGGAGTTCAGAGGGGTCTAGAAATAGAGAATATATTAGGCTTAGGGTGACAATTGTGACAATGCTTCTTGTGTGTCAAACACCTCCTGGAACAGAACAACTCCCGCTTCTTTTTTTTTTAACACCTCTGCTTTTCTGTAAGAGGCCATGAACATGGGAACAAAATTAACATTAGACTCTGCACTACCTGTAAATGCCCTGTGTATTTCTTGCTGCTACTACAAAAAGAGTCATATTGTTGGTGGTCACCACAGCAGAGAAACCACATGTGGTTTCCAGTGGAAATAGATGCCTGGAGAATGCCTGGAGAATGGGCAGTTTGGCCCCTGCTTTCCTGTTTTGCAAAGGTTTACTTTTAAAGTGTCTATTGCTTTTCAGTCTCTCCTGAAACAGAGGCAATGCTTAAGCTGGAGACATCTCTAGACATGCTTAAGCTGGAGACATCTCTAGACACACTCAGACATAGACAGTTTTGGAGGAGCTTGGATGACTGAAAAGGAATTGACGTGAATTGGCTCACTGAAGCCAGGTATCTTGGTGCCCAAATGAAAGACTATCCAGTGGGAACCAAATTCAGGCAAAACAAAGATGATTGCCAAGCCCACATCAGTGCTGCTCTGAGAGAGGCTTAGCCCACAAGCAGCACCCAGCCTTAGCACACACCTGCAATCCTGGTCATTACTCCCGACTTTCTCYGCTGCAATGACCCTTTCCTTCCCTTCCAAACCAGTACTCTGTGTGCAAAGAGTGAAGGGCAGAGAGAGCAATGCCATTGGAGATATGCCACCTGTTTAAGGCTTTCCTAGTAAGGAACATGACCTCAGGCTCTGCACAGAGGGCAYAGCACTGTGCAGGCATTGGTAGAGTATTACTGTGCAGACAGACACAGTGTCTAGTGGTTGCTGAGCTTAGATTGCTGAATGCCCAGCTGCCTTCTGTACCTTAAATCCTTTGGCCCTGTCCCAACGAAATAGGACTCCACTGAGGACCATGTCATGCCTTTCCTTGTTCATACTCCATGGAAGCCATGGGACATTGCCTTCTCCCACCCTTCAATGACAGCATTTGCCATTTCTCTCTTGTAGTCACTGCAGGTAGGAGCCCAGGCCACAGGCAGTACTGATTGCCCTCTAGTGCATGCTCAGGGCTCTGCCCAGGTTACCACACATATCTCCAGGAGGGAGCTCTTACTGCTTCCCTAGTAGGTTGTGCCACAGGTGCAGGCTGTGTTTCCTACTCAAGTGATAGGAAGTGATGTGTTCAGGAGGAGGGAGCTGCCTCTATCCAAGCACCTGTCTGCATTCTTAAAATTCAGTCTGTGCAGATTTCCCTGCACAATTCAGCAGCAGGATTTTACCTGTGAGCTTGTGAATCTGTGAGCTGTTGCGCGACTTAGAAGTTTTGCTGCTTTTAGATGTGTTRTTTCCTGAATAGTTTTGATTCTCCTCCTAGCCAACTTCTGCCCTACCTATGGAGCAAGGTAAGAGGGTGACAGTCCCCAAAGCAGGCTCAACTGCCACAGCTGAACAGCCAATCCTATCACCACTGTGCYTGGCTGTGTCCTCCCCCTGCTTCCCTTGCATGGGCTCTGGCTCTGTTGCACACTTGGCCTCTGGGTGAATTGATTCAATAAATCAGCAAAAAGTTAAAACAGGAAAAAAAAAAAAGCGTATTTTTCTGACACTTAGTGGGGTCACATGAGAGACGGGCAGAACTGCAAGACCTGGAGTGGAGAAGAAAAGTGATGGACTCTGCTTTTGGCTGCAGACAATTATTAGACTGGTCATTCCTCTCATAAAACCTTGCTCTCCAACTCATCTGAATCTGAAGCCTGGTTCTTACAGTCAACATCACCAGCACTCTGTGCAGTCACGATGGTGCTTYATGTGCTTCTACATCAGACTTTCCCCATGCAGTCACTGAGCAACAGGCATATTGGCCATCAGAGCCCAGCAGACAGAAAAYTTCAGGTACAGGGATCAATTCTTAGGCAGGGCATGCCTGTGCTCAACTTTGCTGGCTTTCTGATCACAATTATGGTCTGAGAGGAACATCTTAAATGGACTTTCCAGTCCTTGGTCTCCTCCTGCATGAGTTGTGCTTTTGAGACCTTGACTCTTTCCAGTAAACCTGCCCTGAACCTGCTGCAGCTGGCTTGCTTGTCTGATTTGTTGAGAAGGAAAAAGAAGCTCTTGGATGGGTCAAGAGAGCCAGGCCAATGGTGTTTCCAGGTCAGGGCTGCTATGAGATAGCTTTGTGATCCAAAGCACGTGATCAGTCCTCAGCTTCTTCTACATTTTCATTGGTAGCAAGGAGGAATTGCGCAAAAGTKAGAGCTTGTAGACTTCTAAGCCACATCTTGCTGTGCCAAGAAAGAAAACGAATCCTTAGACAAGTAAGATTTGCATTCTCTTTTTATTTATTTGTGTATATATTGGCTTTATTTGTGTTTATTTGTACTAAGGTAGCAATTAGAAGTTCTGAAGTCATGGACTAGAACAGTGCTGTATTAGATGCTGTACAAACATGCAACAAAAACATATATCCTCCCAAGAGACCTGCTCTCTAAGGGAGGAGGCTGATTTTGGTTTTAGCATGTTTTGAAGAAAGTGTTCAGAGGGAGGTAGGAGAGCAGCCTCTTGGGTTATTCAGCAACTGAATGGACTAACATATTGCCCATTTGCCTGAGAGGTTGGGCTGGTTTCACATGATTTCTTAGCCTCAGCTAGCTGGACTCACAATGATTTACCTTTCAGATTGCTACTGAGATGCTTAGTAAAACCAATGAAACTGCCTGTCTAGCAGAGTCCATGTGACTGTGTGTGGYACCTCTTCCTCCCCTCCTATGAGCCTTTATTTATGTATCGGACACCTGAGCTGGGAGTGCCTAGGCTGTATCTCAGCCAAGGAAGCATGAATGTAACAGCAAAAAGTTGCTCTCTTATGCCCTTTATCTCCTTTTAGGGAGAAATAGCAGCTCCTTGACCACTAGATTTGGACTGGTTATATGTGCCACAGAGTGGGTTTGTGTTTGCAACTGGCAGATATGAGGGTTAGCAAACGGATCTGTTGGTCTCCTCAAAGTAGCAGTCACATATCCCTCTCTAAGCACATGAGCAGGCCTGTGAAGATGAGGACTTGAATATCAGTCAGAACGTTTTCTTGAGCACAGGTGTTAGTGATGCAGGGTTACACATAAACAACTGTATCTGTGGCTGGAGAGGTACCAGGGAAGAGTCACTGTTTCCTTGGTTTCCCCATCCTGTGCCTATTATCTCTTCTTCCTGGACTGAGGAACTCATGTCCACCCTTCTCCAGCCTCAGCACTTGCATAGGAGGAAACATGGATAGAAGAAGGGTTGCTCTGGAATTACTTTCCTGATTCTGAAGCTGGTGATGCTCAAGCTTTCATTCCTGAAAAACAGCCTGAGAAATAAGAACCACTTCCCAAGTACTTTTAGCAGGTCATAGCTCAGTGGAGATTTAGAGCTGGCAGTTTGAGGGAGTCTGCGGGGCACGCTAGCTGCTGCAGAAGCTGGGAGGCTCTGGTGCTGTGCTCTTTGGAACAGGGAGTGCTCTGAAGACCCAAATCCTAGGGGTGTTAGAGGCCCTTCTAGCACGGACTAGCTGCAAATCCTCCCTCTTCTTGATCTCGGCCTGAATCTCCGCCCAGAGAAGCAAAGCCCCGATGGATCACTGTGCGGGTGGAGCTGCACCTCAGCCCAGAAGCCAAGCTAAATGGAAACAGCTTTGTTTTCCTAAGGCTGGAGTATCAAAAGAATTCCTGTTTATTTTGCAGGGAGTGGAAAGGGGTTGTGCCCCTGCTCCTTGCTGGCAGGAAAGATGGCTTGCTGCTCTGCAGCCACCTGCCTCTGACTCCATGCAGCAAGTGAGAAGGGCTCTGCTGCTGCCACTGAGAAAGTCATGGTTGTGCAAGCACAGGGCACGAGTCCGTAACCTGTAACCAGCACCTACCCAGGAGACTCCTGCTGCCCAGATGGGAGGTGTATTCTGGATTAGGGCTCCRTGGGATACAAGACACTCTTCTTTGCAGGAAAGAAGAAGAGATGACCGGGACCAGCAAATCATTTTCCCAGCAGCCTGGGCATGCAGAAAGGAAATAGCTGTGGTTTAAGGTGCTGAGACAATACACAGACAGCTTAAGTAACTAAGCTCTGGAGAGAAGGGAGCTTCCTTTGTGAGGACTCTGTTTAGACAAGGCAGTTGCTAGGAGGTACTTGGTGTTTTCAGGATGGAAAGGGAAGAAGACTGAGCATCAACATGCCCAACCTGTTGACTCCCATCCTCTCCAGCACGCAGAAGGAGACATCTCCCTTCCGGACAAGAGGAAGGGATATRTGCCTTAGCAAGTGTTGAGGAGTTGTGGCAAGTGCTTCTGGCCTGGAGACACTAGAAATCTTATGCCAGCATGCAGGCTTTGCCAAAATATCTGTTCTCGCTCCTGGAAGCCAGTGATGAGAGCAGCAGGGAGCAAAGAGAAGGCAGGATTTGGCTATGTGGTGGAGGTCGCTGAATGGA